GATTTTAATGAATCAAATTTGACCCATCAATTATCATTTTAACTTCACGTTATCTCTTTTAACATTTCCTTTCTCCTGATAGTTAACTCTCTGATTAATACTACTTCCATTCCACTGCAGACTGTGACGCTACAGCGTCTCTCTCAAATCCACATCGCATCTCACCTATCCCTATCTAACCCATTCAACCCCACAACCAATATACCACATAAGCATTTAAGACGTCGTATCATAACCCTCACCCACTCTATCTCTCCCCTTCAGCACCAACCCCATCCCTCTTCGCCCCCGACGAATTCAACCACCCAAACGCCGACGCCCCACCGACTGGATTAGCAGACCGCGGCTTCCTAGACCAAGGAACCCCAGCAGCACCACTGCCATCACTCGAATTCGGCTTCGTACTACTACCGTTTGCCGAAGTCACATGCGAGGACGATGATACCGGTACCCCATCATGCCCCTCAGCACTGGACCGCGAGTCGCCAAATAAAGACGAGCAAGCTGTCGTCGCCACCGTCGTGCCGCCTGAAACGGCCCTCGACGACGCGCTACCTGACGACGCAGTTTTGGAGGGCTTTAGAATCTTCATGTTTCGCGTGCGGGTTGAGCGTTGGTAGGCAGACATGAAAGGGCTGTTGGCGTTGGAGCCTGCACTGGCGCTGGGGTTGGATGAGAAAGAGTTATCCCCCCTACTACCTGAGTTTGGATCTCGGCGCCAGGGTCCCCAGACGCCGCTGACTTCCGTTTTGGCGGAAGAGGTTGACGTGGTTGCGGAGGGACGGTCACTTGTACTGAATTTGAGATGGTGGGGCTGGTCGGGGCTATTGTCGGAGGAATCGGAGGGGAAGTGGCGATTGAGTTTTCGGCCTTGGTATATGTCTAAGGAGTCTGAGGAGGTTCGGACGCTTAGAGTGCTAGGTTTGTCGGTTTTCAGGTCGGGGGATGTCACGGCTCCGTGCATTTCTGGTTCTGAGGGCCTGATGGTAGTGGTGGCAGTGGTTGTGAGTTTCTCCCCGTTCATCTGTAGTCGATCACTTTTCTTCTCATTGACAGCTCCATTAGGTTGTGTAGCTGTCGCAACGGGTATTGGCTCGGGGCATGTGGATAGACTTCTGAACGTAGAATCATCCTCAGGACGCACAAGCGGTATCGAGATCTTGTTCCGATCGTTGTCCACGATTAACATCTTATCTTGCGAGAAGAGAATGTCTGCGTTATGCGCGCGGAGAATATCACTTCCCAAGAAAATCTGTATGCTCCTGTCATTCGGGTCTGGGGTGCGAACGGTGAATCGAACAGTCAGCGTAGGGAGTTGATGGGCCGGGCTACCACCGCGAGATGACGGCTGGTAGACACTAGCTTCAGGAAGGTAGACCGGAAGCTTAATAATTCGCACACCATCCTCCTCCAAAACGTCAGCCTCGAGACCTAGCTTGTGCACCATCTGATCGCTAATAGTAGACCGATACGACCCTGTGCACACTGCAGCGTAAAGTAATGAATCATTTGAAAAGTTCGTCGTGAGCCAGCAACGGATAATGCACGGGACGGGCCCTAGGATGAACAGTCCAGGAGGCGGTTGTAATGGAGTATTGTTATTAGTGGCGGATGGCCCATTTCCACTAGCGCTACCAAGCAAACGAGAGGCTTCGAAGCCCATACCATTGGTAAGGGTGGAATGGTGAGACTGGCCGGAAGAGCTTTGTTTCCCGTCAGATCGATGCGAAAGCGAACGCTCTGTCAGCAGATGACTTCCCAGCCCGCTTCCCGTTCTCAATGGGATGAGCTCAGCAGCCGATCTGTTTGCTTGGCTATAATACATTGAGCTCTCGTCGAATCGCACGCTGTTTGCCCGCGAAGCGCCGCGGCGGGGCTCCTCGTAGTTTTCCAGATGTAGAGCTCCCGTCAAACCGTGTTGGTGTGTTTGATCAAACCCTTTGAATGGCTCAGCAGTAGGGTTAAACGATGATTCTAAACCGCAAGGAGCTGTTAGTAGCGTGTTCCTCAGTTTATAATTTCTCACGTTTTCACTTCACAGATGTCTTTGCTTGATCTCAAACGTACCTTGATGGTGAGCCACGCCAACAGGCCCCGAAAACGAATACAACGGACCCCAAACACTCTTCATCCTCGCATCGTCGTCTCGACGCCGCTCCAGTCTCGATATCCGCTCGCTGTGTTCAATCTGAACTGCGAAGAGGTCTTTCACCTCTTCCTGGACACGCCAGATATCTTCTCTTGAGGCAAACGGGTATTGCGCGTCCATTCCCAATGATCATCCACGGAGTAGCAAGTCCACCGATGTTGGCAAATGTGCCTAGGGCGGATGAGGGTGATGAGAGACAAAATAGGGAAAGGCGGGAAAGGAAGACACCGCGAACACCACTAACTCCCTAAAGCAAGCATTCGTAGCCGGCTCAACAAACCTTGAAGCGAAAAGTCCAGGGCCCAGAAAGGCAGCCAACCCAGGAGTAATGGTCGTGTCCGATGTCGATGCGCCGGAAATCGAAAGCAAGTAGACCTCCCTTCAAAATAACTCTTTTCGAAAAGTAGCAAGAGACAGATATAAAAGAGTATAACGAAAAAGGGAAAAGAAAGAAAAGAAAAGAAGGAAGAAGAAGAAGAAGGGTAAAAAAAAAAAAAAAAAAAAAAAAAAAAAAACCCTAACCCCAGATCCCTATCCCTTTCGTTTCGTTTCCTTAATCCGTGAAGCTTTTTTTTTTTTTTTTCTCGTCGTGGTTCCCTTCTATAGCGAAACAAAACTTCCCCTATTATTAATGAACCCCCTCCGATTTATCTTACTATCTCCCTTCCCCCTTCCGCGGCGAAGTCTCAAACCACAAATGTAGCCGATTAAACTGAATTAACTGGAACGCCTCTCAATTCACTTCACTCACTCACGCCTCGCCTCTCCCACCAAGACCAGGCACTGCGAGACGGCCGAAAGGCCTCCGCCCACCCAGATAAGTCGTGTGAATATGCCAGAATATCCAAACGATGCTCCAGGGCCAGATTTGGCGCATTCGAATTGTGAAGCCGGACGGAGTGGGTTGGATGGGGCCGTCAGACAGGAAATGGCGACGGACCGGAGGGAGGAAAATGGGGGAAGGACACGCTTCCTTTTGGCGCTGTTGGCGTTGAGTGAAAAGGGGAGGGTAGGTTTTCGTGTTAACCAGGCTGTGGTGTGATCAAAGCGATGTGTGTATTTCGGTTGTGTATTTTAATTGTTGAGTGTGGTTGGAGCGGTTAGATGGTAGAGAGGGGAAGGGCCCGAGTAACTGATTTCCGGGGCAGTGTTGTTGTTTTACTGGGGCTTTCAAGAGGCGCGTTGTGTATGGATGGTCTGTTTTCGTACGACGGTTGGCGAGCTGGAATGTGCACAAGCAGGGAAATAAGTTTTGATACGACTGGCCAGGAGAGAGGGAGGAGGGCTGGAGGAAAGGAGAGGGGAGGGGAGGCGGGGTGGGGGAGTGGGTGTGTAAGAGGATGGGAGGAAGAGGGGAGGAAGAAGGGAGGAAGAGGGGAGGAAGAGGGGAGGAAGAGGGGAGGAAGAGGGTGGGGGTGGAGGTAGGATGGAATGGATGGACGTTGGTACAAAGAAAACAGGGCTTGTTTGCAGGAGGTGGGTGGTATCTCTTTCGGATGTACGGGTGGGGGACTACAGTTGCATGGACGATGAGATGCTGTTGTGGTTGAGATGGGGAAAACGTTGAATGTTGGAGGTCCAGTAAGTTAGGGAGTTTAGTAACAGGAACACACACTTGCAAAAGAGCAGACTTTGGACGTAAACTTGGAAACAGAACACATATTTATTATTCCGAGACTATTTTGGCAGGCATCAGAATTGAATCTGGGGTGCTAACTAACAAACTAGTTTTAACTGTTTAAGTTGGACAAACTAATCAACTGCTTAGAGCCAGCCCAACTTCCCAACCCAAATTTGACAACATTTCATATATAGCAATTATGTAGGATATATTATTCTTAGGCCTGTGAGCAGCCAGGTTACTTGGTAATATTTTATTTAACTAGTTACTATAGCTGATTGAAAACTGCTTATAGTTAATTTTAATCTTTTTATTTTATTTTTTATTTAATATTTTTTGTAATTATTATTATTATTATTATTATTATTATTATTATTATTAAATAATTTATTTTAATTTTAATTTTTATTTAACTAGTTATTTATTTACTAGTTAGTTATAATTATATTTAAATATTATTCAACAATGGTTTATAAAGTGCTATTAGCCGTCCATATTCACTACAAAGTTGAATATAAATACAGACAGGAAACAGCCATGCATAGCTTTAATTTCCACAAAAACATGGGTTTGTATATACACCATTTTCAATACCCCCTATCTTATCTCTATATCTCTATATCTATCTCTCAATTCGGTCGCAATCCGAGACCACACCTCACCTTGCAAATACTCATTTCAGACCTCTTCAATTTCCCAAGATTTCGTTCCTGAAAGCTATCCCTGCGGCTGCCTCCCTCGTTCTAACTTTTCCGGTCTATGCTTCATTCGAGTTAGTTCAGTAAGCAACGGGAGCGTCTTCAACATCTGTATAGAATCTCTCATGCCCTCCAGGCGTTCTTCCTCTCCCGGAGATACTATGCCGCCACATGCAGCATGCCAGGGCCGAGTTAACTCCTGAAAGAATCATCAACTTTACCACACACATGGACTTCCATCAAACTTGTCCAGATGCCCCCTCCACACGTGCAACCGGCAAAACTCGTGTTCTCTATGAGTTCATGAAAAGAATTGCCCTTCTTAACTCTCAAACAATTTTGTTTGATGTAAAACCAGAGTCGTAACCATGCCGTAACTGTAACCGTAGTTGCTCACACTGATACCCATCTATTTTTACCCCCTGCAGAAATCCGAATACATCGGATCGAACACCTTCCTTTATTATTTTGGTAAAGATGGGCCATCAATAGAGGAGTAAATCGAACACCCAAATTTTCCCACTGTTTCAGTTCACAAAACCCCCGTTGGCGCCTTCTCCCACCCCGGAAACCTCATAGGGACCTTCTCTGGCGCGAGTTCAGGATAACACGCCCGAATCACCTTCATAACCTCCCGATACATAACTCTATACCCCTCCGGACTAAAGTGGAGCCCTGCCAAGGAAAAGAAAAACAAAAGTAAAGAAATGTTAGCAATACATCCTTGCTTTGACTGCACATTTTTCCCATATCTATCTATCTATATATATATATATAGAGAGAGAGAGAGATAAGGAAAAGATACACATACCATCCGACAACAACTCTCCCAACCTCACGTTGGCCGGTGCCCTCTTGGACCCCGCCAACGGCTCCCCCTCCTCCCACCCGGCCTCCTTCATAAACGCAGCCCATGTATCCACAACAGGCACTCCAAGCTCCCTTCCGACATCCCGACATGCCTCTGCGTACTGCTTTGTCGTGTCCGCTTTGCGGATGACTGGTGCTGGTGCTGGTGCAGATTGTGTTTCTGCGGCTGCGGCGGGTTCTAATTGATACTCATTGATGGGCGGCGGGGTTAGGAGGAGCAGCCTTGTTTCCGGGTGGTGATTTTGGATGAGGGGGTGGGTGAGGATTTTTGAGAGGCCGATTTTGTAGAGGGGGAGGGGGACGTGCTGTTGGAAAGGGGGGAGGACGGCATCGTTGGCGCCGAAGAAGATGGTCTACAAGAATTGTTAGGAATGGCAAATGTTATATATGTGTGACCAGGGATGAAGGGGAGGAAAGGGAAGGGTAAGGGGGGATGGTTACCATCAAGCGAACTTTAGCCTTTTGGGGTGATGGGAAGAAGCTGGGGAGGATTTCTAGACCCTGCTGGGATGTATAGCCACTGCTTGCTTGTTAGGAAAACGGGAATCATTCATGTTCGGAAACAGAGGGTATAGTAATACTTGAAGCCACGGTTGATAACGTCGAATTTCCGTACATAGTCTGTATGACTCAGAAGATTGGTTAGCGGAGGAGTCTAAGATATAGTAAGACAGAGAAGATCCCCCAGATTTCAATTCCATATGCACCGCACTACCAAACCAAGATAGGATAAGATATATATATATATATATATATATGGATATGGCATGGCATGAATCTAACCCACCATGCTGAAGCGCGGGCATAAAAGCAAAGCCCTCCTGCTGACTGCACGAACCCTGGGTGATGGAGTCGCCGAAGAGGATGATCTGCTCATATTCTACAAACGACGCGGTGGATGGTTCCAGATGTGAGGCGCTTGTGTCTGTCATGACCGTTGCTTCGATGCTTCGATCTGTGCTGCACGCCGCAAGCCGCTAGGGAGAGGGCTCTTCGAGCCAGATCCCACATGGAAGATCGATTGCATGGATGTCACGTGGCAGTCGCGAGTTAAATAACTACTTATTTTAGTTATCTAACAAGTAACTAACTAACGTACAACTCTCTGATCGTTATACAAAAACATCTTAATCAATCCTGATCACATCCCTATAAGCTCTCTCCCATCCCCTCAGGCAGCAAGCCTGATGGCGTGCCGACGCAGCGCCGCCAGCGCGCCCAGCCCCCCAACACCACCGAACGCGTCCCGAGCCTTGACGCGCATCTGCTCCCCCATACGCCGTCCACCCAAGAGACCTCATCTCCTCACCCCAATCGCCCGCCGCACATGTGAACTGAATGACATGGAGTCTCCAAGCTCCCCTACACCAGCAGGCAGCTCAAAGAGCAGAAATGTCGCACCAATTCACCTCAACCTACGTGGCCCGATGGCTAGCGATCTCCTAGCCGCCCACGAGGCTGAGGCACAGAAATCCCATGCAGAAGCACTAGCGGCTGCAAATATGCTTGATCGGATTGAAGAAGACCTAGATGTCATGAAGGCAAAAGGCCTATCAAGGGCACTGGCCCTTGGAGCCGCTGTGAAGGCGTTAGTCAAGGACTGGTACAATGGAAGTCTAGAAACAGCTAAGCAGTCCACCACAATCAAGCCTGCTGGCTCCACTGGTGCAAATGATGCAAGAGCTCCTACCTACGCAAAGACAGCTGCAGACAGCACCAATGTAACAAAAACACCAGCAACCATACTGCAGAAACCCCTGCTTAGGAATAACCCCAGAGAAGGAAAAACACCACAAATCCTCGTGCGCCTGCCTTCAGATCATCTAGCTTGCAAAGCAAGCCCAATTGCTACTCTTAGAAAGCTGAAGGCTGAACTCCCAGGGCCTTTGGCAGCAGCCATCACAGCAGTTCAAGCCATCCCCACAGGCATTGCCATCATTCCTAGAAGCTTGCAAGACATGGAGGCCCTGCTAGCCCAAAAGAATGTTTTAGCAGCCACCCTCACCAATACTCAGATAGAGAAGGAAGAACATTGGATCACCTGCCTGATTCCTGGGCTGCCCATGGAAATTAGTGACTATGGTGGTGGAACTCTGCGTCTCTCAGCAGAATCCATGACAGAAGAATTCACACTCCAAACCAGAATCAAGCCTGTCCAGAGTTGCTGGGCAAAAATACACCCTGGAAACCCAACAGCCACTCTTATATTACACTTTTTGCAAGAGACAGCAGTAAACCTGCCATCAAAAGTGGAACTATATGGATATCAAAGACCAGTGATCAGAAAGGCACCTAAGGTCAAAATACAACAATGCAGCAAATGCTGGGGATTTCATCAAGAGAGATACTGCCTCCGCGTCCCTCGCTGCAAAAAATGCAGTTCTAAGAATCATGTGAAAGGAAATCCATCCTGTCATAAGGAGAATGAAGCATGTGGATGCCCCAATCACTGCACTAACTGTCTTGGACCACATGCCGCGGATGATCCATCCTGCCCCGCCAGACCAGGGATAAAGAATGAGACTGTTCAAAGGCACTCAAGAAACCAGCTGAGGGATATCCGCAATGCACAGAGTAAGGCATACTTGGCCAAGGCAAGTAACAGCAAATGCAGTGGTCAAGGGCCATCAGCAGACCTGAGGTTGAATGATTCTACTGAGTGTAGATCTAACCTCACACCAACATCAAACACAGCACCAAGCACAGCATTGAGCACAGCATCAGGCACAGCATTAGGCATGGCGCCCAACCCAACATCTAATGCAACACCCAACACGTCATCTCACGCAACAACACCCTCCTTTCAGCTACTCAATGAAGAAGAACTCTAGATCTCCGCAATTCCTGCAGATTATGCAAGTCAACGTAGGAAAAGGGGGCCCAGCACACGAGACGGCCCTCAATCTAGCGTTTGAAAGAAAGACTGACATCCTTCTCATACAGGAACCCTGGATTCACAGGAACTTAAGCCAATGCATCTCCAAAAAGCATCCAGCATTCAACTGCTTTGCCCCAATTGAAAAGTGGGACAGGAAGCCACGGGTCCTCACCTATGTGCGTAAACACCCACAAATCCATGCTCATGCAGTCCCAGGCCCCTGGGCAGAAAACCGGGACATCCACATGCTGCACATACAGGCCTGGGGTCTACAGCTTCAGACAGTCAACATATACAATGCACCCCCAGGCGCAGAGGATCCTGGACAAGGTGTGGGCTGTCTTCTCTCCTGGTCTGTCCCAGCACTCCCGTTGCTCCTTGCTGGCGACCTCAATATCAAGCACCCCGTGTGGCAACCAGGAGTGCCTCCAAGCATGTGGGCGGAACCATTCCTGCAATGGACCATGAATTTCAACTTTACTCTCACCATGGACCCAGACACTCCCACACGTGGGCATAACATGATAGACCTGGCCTGGGCCACCCCGGAATTAGTTATCAAAGGAGTGGACACACAGGTGGACAGATCCCTTTACACTTCCTCTGACCACCAGACTCTTCTCACCAAAATCAGCCTTCCACAGGGCGCAAGGCCTGACAGGCCAACCCATTTTTTCTGTCTTGACACCATGAATGAGAAGGTCTTTAACCAGACGCTGGAGGCCTATAAGCCAAAACTAGACAAACTATGTGATTTCCCAGAGTACCCCAATACAGATCAGCTGGATGCCCTGGCTAAAGGTATCACAGATGCACTAATAGCTTCCCTGGAAAGTTCCACCAAGAAGAGCACCGGGCAAGGCACAGGTCAGCCATGGTGGAATGAGGACTGCCAGAAAGCAGTGACAACACTACATCGTGCACAGCACCTAGGCTCTAGTTTTTTACGAGTAGCAAAAAGCAACGTAGCCAGGACCACCAGGAAAGCCAAGAGAGAATACTGGCGAGGCAAGATAGCAGAGGCCTCAGTGGGGAAAGATATCTTTAAGATGATCAAATGGGCCCATTCAACTGGCTCCTTTCATTCCCCCCCTCTTGTAGATGAAGAGACTGGGCGAACGCGAACAACCCCTAGAGAGAAAAGAGACCTTCTGCAACGGGTGCTCTTACAGAAGGCTGCAAGCAGAGAGGATATCCCAATTAGCTGGTCCAACCCACCATCTGTCAAATTACCTTTTCCTGTTGCCTCAGCACATGAGATACAAAGTTCTCTGCTGAACACGGGTAATACCACTCCAGGAACTGATGGAGTGCCAACAGAGGTGCTACGAAAGGCATGGCCACATATTAAGGTATCAGTGGAAAGGCTGTTCAGAGCCTGCCTTAGGGTTGGCTGGCACCCAACCTCCTTTTGAGATGCCACACTGGTTGTGCTGCCTAAGGTCAACAGAGATCCAACACTCCCGCGATCCTACAGGCTTATAGCCCTTCTCTCAACGTTGGGGAAGGGACTGGAACGCCTGGTAGCCCGTAGGCTGGCCTGGACAGCTATACAAGAGAAGATTGTCCACCCCCAGCATTTTGGAGCCCTCCCTGGGCGGGCTGCCTCAGACCTAGTGGCAGCAATGGTTCATGATATAGAGGAAGCCTGGGCCCATGGAAAAGTAGTCTCTCTTCTTACTCTGGACATCAAGGGTGCTTTTGATGCTGTACTCAGAGAAAGGATGCTGCGGAGATTGCAAGAACAAGGCTGGTCACCAAATTTAATTAGATGGGTGGAAAGCTTCATGACAGGACGCACAGGCAGAATCAGATTGGATGGACTCCTGGGAGAGCTCTTTGATATCCCAGCAGGGCTTCCACAAGGCTCGCCAGTCTCACCTATTCTATTCATGCTGTTTATTCAGCCTCTGTTCTTTCTAGGAACTATACAAAGAAGACGTGCACGCTTAGGCTACGCAGATGATCTAGGACTGCTTAGTGCTGGAACCACTCTTGAAGGGAATGTTGTTACTCTCCAGGAGGATTTCAAGTTGCTAAATGATTGGGCCAGCAAAGAAGGGCTGACATTTGATTTTGCCAAAACTGAGATAGCACACTTCACACGGCGCAGAACCCTTTCAAACCCCTCAATTGACCTTGAAACAACATCTGGCACTCACTCTATTACAGCAAAGGCAGTGAAAAGCTCCATAAGATATCTAGGAATCTGGCTAGATAGAAAACTGAGCTTCAAGAAACACGTGGAGACCATGGCGGCTAAGGCACGACAGGTGTCTAATGGCATACAAGCACTAAGCAACACAGCAAGAGGCGCCCCAGTACAACTGCTTAGACAATCCATTCAGGCCTGTGTGCTCTCTGTGCTCTGCTATGGAGCAGAGGCCTGGTGGCCTGGAGCCACACAAATGGAGAAGGGAAAGGAAATCTCCAATCGAATGGATTGCCTAGTCAGAAAGCTAGATCTAGCCCTTAGAGATGCTTTGCGAGGGGCACTGCCAGTCTACAAGACCACACCCATTTCAGCTCTACACCGTGAGCTAGGAATCATGCCAATGAAAGAGACACTAGACAACCGGCGTGCTGTATTTGCAGTAAGAATCAAAAAGCTTGACAAGAGGCACCCACTAGTGAGACGCTCTAATAAAGTAGCTACCACCAAACCCTATACCACACGTCTGTCTAGAGCGTCCAGTCATGCTGGTGGGATAGAAGCATATGACCCTCTACTCACACCCCTTGGATGAGATTTCCCAGGAAAGAGATCTGCAGATTGGGTATGAGGCAGGCCGCTTTAAGAACTGGCTCAACAACGCAATCCCCGGATCTGGTGGTCTTTTCCGATGGTTTACAGATAGAGCACCCTCAGCGTGCGACTGGGGCAGGATGGGCTATATGCTGGGGTAGCGAACCCCGTCTTATCTCCACAGGAGAACCTCCAATGGATAAAAGCAGAGGTCTTTGACGCAGAGGCAATGGCAGCCCTGCAGGGCCTAAAGGAAGCCACACCTTGCCTCAGGCGAAGTTTGCCAGCAATGTCTACATTTGCCTAGA